ACCAATCAAAAGCAGCGGACATCAGAGGAGTCAAATATAGATCAGACGTAATTTTATCCTGGGTGTCCTCATTTTCAGATGTTGTTGACACAAAGTTTTCTGCCTTTCAGTTAAAGCACTGCAGACAGATATTGATAGCTATATGGCTGCGTTGCTGTGACGGTCACACGGTCTGCACTGATTGTTCTGTGCAGAAACACGCCCCATCCCCTCATGTCATTTAAGAAAGGGCGACGAGGAGGAGACATTTGGATCAAAGGATGTCTCTCTCCCGCGTGACACTCGCAGCAGTTCAGAACCTCAATTTACAAACTGAATGGATTTCTCCTTTCAGGGAGGTTTGAGAGGCCTGAAAGGTCCCAGGCTGTTCAATGTGAAGATTAATGAGGCAGAATGAAATATGGCAAATACTACATAGATATTAAACTTCAGGGTGTTTGAGATGAAAGATGCAGACAGGGAGTTGGATTAATTGATTTCTCTGAGGCATCAGACTTTGATCTTAGAGCTGCACTAAAATTACGGTTTGAAGGAGATTTATTTTCAGATGGGGCTACTCATCTGATCTTATAAGTTAGTAATTCAACTGTCGATTATTTTCATTATCAATTAATCTATTGATTGTTTTTTTTTTCCGGTTAATTGATTGTTTAGTCTGTTAAATGATAATAATGTCAACATGGCAAACAATGAAAAAAATGGGTGGATGCAAACACACATACTGGGCGATTTGGGAGTTCTGTCGAGTGTAAATGTGGAATTATTAATTAATGGATGAGGAATCCAAACAAAAAAGTCAATTTATTTCCATGAAAAATGTAAAAAAGTTTCTATGGCCACATTTCTTTGTCATTTCAAGTGTCTTGTAGCCGAATTAATTATGTCATTTAAAAAACCTTTGTTTACAGCTCTGTTAGCCACATCAAGAATCTGATAGGAATCTGTCTTTTCACAATCCAGAAGGAGCTTGGTAAATTACCTCTGCACTTTAGCAGTTAAGTTAAAACAGCGTCAGTTAGCAGCAACAGCTAGCTACCTAACAACTATCCTATACTGACAAAAACACACGGATGAGTCACGTTCTATGAACTATGAACGAGTCATTCATGCTGCTCTTTCACCCATACAGATCATTCAGTGGGCAAACTGATCAGGGATCAGATTAACTGAAAAACTGTAAATAAAAAGAAGAATGCAAAGTCAAACCTTTGTATCGAACAGCTAAATCCGATTCGACTGACAGATATCTGAGTCGGGTACAGCCTCAGTTTCTACAGTATCCCAGAATGGACGAACCAAACATGGCTCTGGATAAAGTCTTTGCATTGCATCAGTTTCTCCTTCATCCTTAGTTGAAACAAGGGATTTCAGTTGGTTACAATCTGCAATCTCACTGCCAGATTAAACTAAATCTTACACACTGGTCCTTTAAGAACATTATGAATATGCAGGCAAAACAAAAAGAGGTTAGCCATATTACAAAGGTTTATCTTCATACATGAATTATATTACAATCTAACCAAATAATATCAGCATGCACACTGCCAGAGCTGCTGAAGAGACAGCAGGGACAGATTTTGTAAAAATCTGCACAGTCCTGCAAGGTAGGATGACGCACAGCACCTAATCAGTGGTGGGAGAAAATTATATTTGAACCAGTGATAAATGCAAAGGAGCATCACAAATAAAACTTCATTGCAGTTTTGCACATTGTAGCTGTCATAGAAGAGAATCTTGCTTTTTTGTTGTTGTAATGGGTCAAAAATTTATGTTTAATTAAAGTGCAACAGTGAATTGAAAGCAAATATATGGATCCAAGGTTATGAAATAGTCCTTCAGTGGCTGCATGAAGCACCACGCTCACGCTCAACCTGTTATTTTATTGTATCGCTCATTCATCACCAAGGACCAGCAGAGTGTTTTCTTTTTCTCTTTGAAACATTTTCAAAAGAGAAGAGAAGAATCTATTCTTGTTTTGCAGCCATGTGTTGCCAGTTATTTGGTTCTGTTTGATTTACGACACTGATCTCCGAGTTTTCTCTTTCTGCGGTTTCCATGGTGATCCAAATTGCCAAATTGAATGTGAAATGTCCGTAATCACGAGGATTCGGAGATATTGAGAAATGATTAATGTGACAATGTGCTGAAATGAGAGAAACTCCTCTGGTCTCATAAAAAGACATTGGATGATTTTTCTTTTTTCTGCTTTTTCAGGTTGTTGTTGCATTTTTCACGTGTCTTTTAAAATGAAATCCAGGAAGGCAGATAGATTGAATGCCTTTTTTATAGACTTTGCAGCTGTCGCCATTGAGGTGACAATAACCTTTCAGTTGGTTTGTTTGATGAACTCTATCAGTGAGCCCAGCGCACATCTGTGTTTTTCTCACTGCTGATTTTCTGAAAGCAACATCAGACATTTTGAAAAAAAGAGATGGTCAGAAATATGATATTCTTCTGAAATGGGGCTCTTTGTGCTTTTATTGTGATATGATATGTATTATGTTCCAGCTGTGTAGTCAGTGAAGAGTGAAATGAAATGAGAAGCTTATATGCCTTAATGGTGTGCTATCACAATCCAAATAGTGTTGGCTTACTATATGTTTCATGGATATATCAGTTTTATTGTTTAGGGAAATGACTACATCAGTGAAGAAATGTTAACTAAAGCCATATTTGCATGGGACTAGCAGCAGGGGACCTGGGGTCTGTATTTTTCTCGAATAGTGTAAGAGGAGTTGTTGATTTACATTAGTGATGAACTATTTTCATCCAACAGCAGCTCAGACCGATAATGTAATGATTAGTCTCCACAGCGCTGTGTCTGAGCTTGCTGTGATCGATACATGTGAACAGTCAACATACTTTATTGTTCCTTCAGTAGGCAGTATGCAGTACATGCTGATTGAGCATGCAGTACGTTAGTATGTGATTTCAAACACGTCTCATGTTCACCAGCTTAGTTTTGCATGTACAGCTAAATTCATGACATATGTCTAAAAGTTGTTGTCAATCTGGACCAAAGTGGTGGACAGACCAACATTTCCGTCCCTCCACACTGCTAGAATTGCTAATATTAACCAGAATACAGACTCTACTTTAGTTTATTTTATTATTAACGTGACTGTGTGAATGTGTGGGTGAGTGTACCAGCTGTTGCTTCAGTAGTCACTGGGATAGAAGGTGTTTACAGACGGTGAGACCACACTCTCACCTCCACTAAGTCTCGTACAGCTGACTGTCCTCTCCCTGTGTGTTCCCAGTTCATGTTCACCAGAGTGCTGCTGGGTTGCTAATGAAATTTCAATTATCAGCACGGCACCCATGTGTGGGAAAACACTTGTTTAATTTGCCTGCTGTATCAATAGGACCAAATATAGCTGCTAGGTCATATCAATCTACCTGCAAACACGCATCTTCACCCGGCTTTAATTGCTTCCTGTCTGACTCATCACCTCATATGCACCTTTATCCCATCTGCTTTTCATCATTTTATCTGTATCCTGTTATTTCTCTCTTTGTCTCCGCTGCTCGTCCTCTGACTGTTATCTTTACCTGCTTCCTGTGTTTTTCATTGTAAACATGTTGATGGTCATCAGGATCGGACATTACAGTATTTATTGCTTTGGTTCAGTTCTCACAACAGAGTTTCAATGTGCAAAGAACCAAACTGATTTGCTAAATTCTTACTTACCACAAAATACTATACTACAAATACATTACTATTTGTAAAATTAAAATTATAATTGCATACTCTGTTGATGAGAATTAGTTGATGTTTGACAGACAAAGATTAAAATCATATGATAAACATATACAATGTTGGGATGCATTTGATAGAAATGTTTTCTTTTTGTGTGCTAACATTTTGGGTTTTGCAAACTGAGATTCTGTTGTAAAGCTATCAGTTACATAAGAAGGAAGCACCAGGAGCTATAATGCCATTGAAATTTCCTTTGTAATTAAAAATGCTAATAAATACCCTGCTTAAGAACATTCTATAGATTTTAAGCACTTAATATTTGTCCCTTGTGGTTTGTGTGTTTGTAGTCATTTGGGTAGATTTTATATAATTTATATAATTTTCAATTAAAGGCACACTATGCAAGATTTTTTACCTTAATATAACAGCTTCAAGTAATTTTGATGGTAAACAGACTCGTAGTATAGCGAATCATCCTGATAGCAAAGCAGGAGTGGGACGCCGTTGGCAGAACCAGCAATGCAAGTCTGAAAGGTGGCGTCCCGCCAAATCTCGTGAGAACCCCGAATTGCTTTACGGCGCGACGTGACATACATCAGCGACATAAGAAGCAGCCTCAATGGAAGACACTAGCAGGCATTCACTCAGACGTTACCTGGTCAGTAGACATCTTCAGAGTCTATCTTTGCCTGTTCGATGTCCGAGCTTCCATCCTACTGAACATGTACCGGTATACAGGGGGGAGGGGATCAGGCCATGAGTGCAGAGACGCAGAGCCGTATATAGAGACGGCTCTGGTGAGTGGGATTTACAACAGTTAACGTTAAATACAAGTACTCCGCAGCGACTCTAGGGGGAGCTGTTTGACAAAACCGGAAAACTGCATAATATTTTTTGACAATAGTTTGAAATACTTTTTGAAAGCTCTGTTTCTTTATCAGCTAAGAGGTTCTTGGCCTGAAAAAACATTGAAGGTCTGGCTACAAAAAAGAACCAAATGTCCCTCAAAAAAAGATTATATCAACAGAAACTACTTAAACTGTGCCACAAACACCTCAAATCTTTTATTAGAACACAGTCAAATGCTGAAATGTGCCAACATTTTTCAAAGAAATGTGCTTTTCATGTCAACAGCACTTAAGCACTGAAAGTAAGCTTATTGTGTCTGTAAGAAAACACGTTTTAATGCACTTGGAAAGCAAAGATGTTTTAATTTCTTTTCATGTCAGTACAGATGAAACAAACATAGAAAATGTCAACTATTCGGTTAGTGAACTAATTGATTTTTCTCCTCCAACAGAACAGATGGGTGGGAGCTGAGAGGGACAAGGCGACAGAGAGCACATCCATGGGCATCGTCTCGCTCCCCGGGCTGGAGATGATGGATGAGATGTGGGAAAACAGCAGCTTTGCCAGCCCCTCACCTGCAGTCCCCCTGTTTCTGCTCATGTTCAACGACAGCGATCTGAATGAGACGCTGCTCAACTCCACCAATACCACCGCCGCCCCGGATGTCTCCTCTGGTCCCAGCGTGGCAGGGGTCCTCATCCCACTCATATACATAATTGTTTGTATCATCGGCCTGGGTGGAAACACTTTAGTGATTCACATTGTGCTGCACTACTCGAAGATAGAGTCAGTGACCAACATCTATATACTCAACTTAGCCATCGCTGACGAGCTCTTCATGCTCGGTCTGCCTTTCCTGGCGGTTCAGAATACCCTCCAGTCGTGGCCGTTTGGGTCCTTCATGTGCCGTCTGGTCATGACTGTCGACTCCCTCAACCAGTTCACCAGCATCTTCTGCCTGACTGTGATGAGCATCGATCGCTACCTCGCTGTAGTCCACCCCATTCGGTCTTCAAAGTGGCGGCGCCCTCAGGTGGCCAAAATAGTGAACGGGACTGTCTGGGCTCTGTCGTTTCTCGTTGTTCTACCTGTGGTCATCTTTGCTAATATCCAGAAAGCGGGAGGTACCTGTAACATTGCCTGGCCACAGCCGGCCAACATCTGGGAGGCGGCTTTCATCATTTACACCTCCACAGTTGGATTCTTCTGCCCTCTTCTTATCATCTGCCTCTGCTACCTGCTCATCGTCTTCAAGATCCGCAGCTCAGGAAAAAAAGTCCACGCCACCTCAACCAAGCGAAGGAAGTCGGAGAGAAAAGTGACGCGCATGGTTGTGATCGTTGTTGCCGTGTTCGTGTTCTGCTGGCTGCCATTCTACGCCCTCAACATAATCAACCTGCTGGTGTCCCTACCCCCAGAGTACCAGGGTCTTTACTATTTTGTCGTGGTGCTCGGCTATGCTAACAGCTGCGCCAACCCCATCGTCTACGGCTTCTTGTCAGACAACTTCAAGAGGGGTTTTCGGAAAGCCCTCTGCCGCTCCACGAGAAAGGTGGAGAACCACGAGCCGATGGAGCGCCAGCAGCAGCAGGAGGAGGGGAGGACGGCGCTCATGCCCAGGGAGAGCCTGAGGCGGGCAATTAAGGACGAAGACGACGACGAGGAAGACGTCTCAGAAATGACTGAGATCTACAGAATCGCCCAAAATGGCAACTTCCAGCCGCAGAGCTCACAGCCGCTGTTCTCAGAAAGAGGAGCGACTCCAGGAGCAACAGAGCCGTCATCCCCAGACAAGAGGGACAAAGCTGGGGACACGAAAGGGAAAGATCCAGTCAACGGGTCCACACTGACTGTCCCATTGCTTCTCAATGGAGCCAAAAACGGGAGCATTAAAACTCTGCCAGAGGAAAACTTGGAACAGAGCACCTCATTGGAGATAAGTTACTTATAGTGTAAAATAAGGACTTGAATTGAACTCAGTATTACAACACAGGGCAGCCTGCCTCTAATCCACAACATTGAGCTGTGTGTAAAGGAGCAAAAATCCACAGAAACTATTTGAATTGCTATTTTTGATCAACGGACTGAAAGTTTCTTTAGCATTTGAAGGAGTTGGTTAAGTACATACAGAATGTATTATTGTTTATATTGTGTATATATGCATGGATGAATGTATAAAGTTGTGCCTTTTATTTACTTTTATCACTTGTATCCTGTTGATCGTTGTACTTGGAACCTTTTTATTCCATAATGTGACAGTCGTTTGCTTGAATTTAAGTGTATTTAAGCTTTAAGCAACCATCTACACATTAGTTGAACATTGATGACATGGCTATAACTTTAGTTTAGATAGGAATCCCATGTCTGCAACCCCATCTCCTATTAATTATGTGTATATACTACTTGCCAGTTACTGTATGTTTTAAGGGAAATGCAGTTCAGATTAAGTTCAAATCCTGAAATCCAACAAAAGCAATTTGGCAGTGAAACATCGTAGTTTCGGTTAAATGTTAATAAACATGAAATGGCTCAAGCTTCAAGTTGCTTATAACGTTTTTCTATTAAACCAAGATTATGATCTTTTCCTAACCATGACAAATTGCTGCCAGTACCTAAACATAACTGTTAAAAAGTTAAGATTTACCAAACCAAACACTTTTGATTTTATTTATCTGTATATTATAATATATATAACATGTCAAACACTGTTACAAATACATTCATTGACAATGTTGAGGACAACACAAAAAACTCACAGATGACTAATGTACTCCAACCAGAGGCTACATTAAAATAGCATACATCTTTTCCTGTAAAACTACAAAACAAAGACAAACTTAACAAATTGCTTGTTTCAGTCTGATGAAAGCTGCCTGTTAACGAAGAGATGTGCTTTCATGAGATTTCCATGCCATGATGATGATGATGATAATGAACTTGTCTTAGTTTTATTTCCTCATTTAAACATTTATTGTGACTTCAAGTCAAATTAGTGCTTTTTTCCCATCAGTATCGTTTGCAACAAATCTGCTGGTACGAGTAGTTCTTGCATGATGCGAAATGTTTAATCCTTATGTTCATAAAAAGTGGAATTCAGGCATTTCCTTCAAAACTTATTTGCTAATTTTCTGTTGCAAAAAAGAAGTCTAAAAACACAATTTCTAAGAGACCGGGTTGTATTCTTTTCAAATGTTTTCACTGAATATATACAAGCATTTTATATGAATATAAGCTTTTATGTGTATGATTCAGGCCCTGGCCTTTGGCATTGAGCTGTAGCTGAAATTGTGGCTGTGGTGAAGGATTTACTTTGTCTCTTACGCTATAGCTGGAAAAATTTACTATTTACTGAAAGCATAATGTTGTTAGTGATAACTTTGCACTTTGGACAGAAGCTCAGAATTCATAACAGCATCTTGTTGCACATTTGATGAGGTTAGACAATAAACTTGCTTGTGCTGCCTGCTGCTTGCAGATCAAGATGTATTGAAAGAAAAACACATTGAATGAAAACGCTGCTTAAATGATTTCTGTTGATTATATACAAAAAAAACACCACAATCTCTTGTGTAGTAGAATTGTTGTGCCAGTGTACTATATGGTACAACACAGATTATTGTGTTAGGTTAAATTCTTTGTTACATCCTGTACAACTATGTCAGAAATTAAAGTTAATAATTCACCATTTTGTTATCAGAAAATACTTAACATGGGTGACATACTATTTCAGGAATGTCAGTTATCATGTAAAACAAACTTGACATTGTTCATATCACACTGGCTTGGTGTGTTTATACAGATTGAAACCTTACTGATATGGCATCACAGGGGCTACAGTGCATTCTTTGCCTTAATCAGACATACTCAAGAACTGAAATGGAGTACCGGCACTTCTGATTTTTCTCTAGATGAGTACCCTTACTACTTATTGCATAATGCCACCTCCTGATCAGTCAAGGCACGTACCCCTAAACACTCGCGTAACGCTTGACTCTTTTTTCCCGACTGGAATTCTGCTAAGACCCACCCCACCGTGCCTCTGATTTGCTAGTGTTCGTTGCCTTTGTTGGCTTGGTTAGTAAGCATTCGGCATTGAAAAGAGAGATGGTTAGAATTAGAAAAAATTGCCGGAGCCAGGGTCTTGTAAATCCAGCTTGACGCTGAGAAAACAAATTAGGGTTAGTTGTTATCGTTAGGGGCAGGGTTGTGCTGATTTGTTGTTCAATTCAGACACTGCTCTACAACGTCTATACAGTGTACACTGTATAGACGTTGTAGAGCAGACTTGAGACTACAGCAGCCCTATATGGTTAACAACACACTGTCAAATCAACCCAACTCATCTGACACCTGATTAATATACAATGAATATGCAGTAGCTCAAATAATGCTCAAACACTTAAAGGGGAACTGTCTTAAATCACAATGCCATGATGATGATGATGATGATATGGAACATGAACTTACTGTAGCTGAAATTGTGGTGAAGGATTTACTTTGTCTCTTAAGCTATAGTAGAAAATAGAAATATGCACTATTTCCTGAAAGCATAATGTTTGTTTGTGATAACTCTGGACAGAAGCTCTGAATTCATAACGACCTCTTGTTGACTCTACTGATTTTACATCAAACTGTGTTTCCAGGTGTCGGGGAGTACTTCTACATATGTTAGCATTCAGCTGTGTGAAATCTGATAAATAGTCTCAAGTGATGTCACTTGAGTCAGCATCGGTTGGGGCTGAACACTACAAGTTTGAAAATAAAAAAAATCTGGAGTTGCGGAGTTAGAAAGCTGTGAGCTGACCAGACCTCTGTCGCTGCTCTTCATGTAGTCTGGAGGCTAGGGGCTCGAGGCTCAAGACTCAATTATACAAAAAGAAAAAAAAACAAAAACACAACTACTGTATTTTTTGCAATTTTCACTTTATCCCTAAATTTCATTAGAAAAAAAACCCAAATCAATCCCAAAAAAATGGCAGTAAAATCCTGGAAGGACTAATTGAACACAATATTCAGAAATGTACCATCGTGTAAAATTAGTTATTTTAGTTCTGGTACTTTAAATATATTTTAATGCTGTCACTTTTGTACTTTTAAACTAGTAACATTTTGAATGTAGGATATTTCTATGCTGTCGTATTGCTACTTTTACTTAAGAAAGACTTTTTCCACGACTTGTTTTGACCCATTTTACTGTGTGTGCTTTCTACCACTGATGAGCACCACTGAAATAAATGTGCAGGTAAAAAACAGATTCTAAAACGGCAGATGAGGCAACAACACCCCATCATTCATCAAAAACTCACCTCACAGCCGTTCATTCATGAGTGCGACCACACGCTGATAGCAGCCACGTTATATTTAGCTGACTGTAAACACAACGATACGATGCTCCTGTTGGTATTTCTGTGGTGTTGCTCCTCTCAGCTGGTCTTCAGCCCACACGCCCACGTACACTCTTCTGCAAAGATCCTCAGAGGAACATAAAACCATCATTAAAGGCACATTAAAAAGGGATTTGCCTGGCTGATACTTTATTTGCCCGGCCCCTGGGGGTTGCAGTTTGATGAGAGCGGAGATTTGTTCAGGGTTGAGTAGAGCTGCGGAGGGCTGTGTGTGTTTGCTTCTCTCCGTATGAGTAAGCTGTTTACTAGTGTTTGTGCAAGTGTGTGTTCGGCTAAAAATATTGTTGTTTCGAGCTGCCTGCCTGTGTGATCCCAGACTCCCCTCAGTGATAACCCACCTGTGCTTACTGTACACGGAGGGGCGATAGTCAGTTGAACGGCTCTGCTGGAGGCTTCGCTATGACTCAGTGTGATTCTCTGCCCACAGGCTCTCACCCACATACAATATGGACAAGACTCAAGTTAACTCTAATAGCCTATTATTCACTTTTTTTGGCAGGAGCAACTATGGAAACCCTGTGCAAACACTGCCATCAGCTCAAGAGGATGAGCACAACAAGGTCCACACCTTAATGCTTCCCTTTTGGGTCGGATTAAATATCTCAGTCACACGATTCTGTTGCATATTTCACCATGCATACAGAGCAACGTGTAGTGTCATCAGGATGCATAAAGAGTTGTAAAATCATCCCTCTGGTAATGCTAACTGAGTGGGAGCCTTTATTACTTTGTGTTTTCAAAAATCAACCGTCACTTTAGCGTTAAGTGTTGGTGTTGATTTAAGTGCAGGAACAGTTTCCCAAAGGGACATGAACCTCATCAAAGGATAAAACATGTTTTACATCTCCTCTCGTCAAATTGTTTGCGATGAATTCAATCCATCAGGGTAAAATGTACAACATAGTTCTGCTGGATGCAGGTTGGTGTGGATTTGTAAATTATGTTTGTTTTCGTTCGAATAGTGCTGCTTCAGCTTCAATATTTTGTGCCATAATGTCACTGAGTTAAACATTTTGATTTTAAATATGAAAAAATAAATGTGATGTGTTTCAGCAAAACTGTTGACTTTTGTCTTAATTATCTTCATTATTGTAGGTAAACAACCCACCAATAAAAAATACCCAATATTCAAATTTAAAGGACCAGTGTGTAGGATATAGCGGCATCTGGCAGTTAAGTTGCAGATTGCAACCAACTGAATACTGCTCGCCTTCCAAGCCTGTAGGAAACACTACAGTTCTAGTGTTTGGTTTGTCCTTTCTGGGCCACTGTAGAAAACCGGCTCTTTCTAAGGTCATTACAGTACACTAATGAAAACATACCTTTGAATATTATATCCCATTTCTGTCAATATAGCTTCCTGAATGTCACACACTGGACCTTAGCGTAGCACAAAGACTTGAAGCACTGTCCAAATAACAGCACCTCTAGAGCTCACTTATCAATAATCAATAATGCACACGTTGTAAATACATTATTTTACATTAAACTATCTGCCCTTTAGAGTCAAGTTAAAATGGTTTGACCATCATGGATTATAAAATATATATATATATAATACTACATAACTGCTTTACAATGTTCTCAGTGTATAACGCTCTTCTTAATATAAAGAAACTAAACGAAATGGTGAACGCTCGCTCTCCCTATTCTCCCATGTTTGATGCCCTCCCCCTCTTTCTACTATTAATAGAGCTAACTGCAATCAATCAGCCTTTGTGAGTGAGGAGGGGTCTCTTTGATTGAACACAGGTGTTCACAGCAATTTTCTCCTGATCATTAATTAACTGTCAGATAGCGTTAAAGAAACAGAAAGCCACGAGAAAACACTGAGTGAAACAAATACATTCAAACAAGCAATTACACCGCCCACGGAAAAAGTTCACAGAACTATAGGGGGCACACAGAAAGTCTGACATTTTTGATTAAAAAATATATGTTTAATGAAGATACTCCAGCTTATTAGTTTCCAACCAACACCATAAATGTTAAAAGGGCACAAGATTACAGGATTCTGCTGCACAAAATCTTCTTTTGTTGTTGCAAATTACTGGATAATTAAATATAATAATAAAAAATCACTGAAGAAGAAAAGAGCAGCTGAGCTGGAGGTGCTGGCAACTGCAACAAGTAGTCAGGAAAGATAAAGTGTTTGTGATTGCGCGCTGAGTTAATTAAAAAATACAAATAAAGACCTTATATTAACACTGATAAAACATGTTTTCGCTCATGAGAAGATGCAAAGGGCCAAAGGCTTAAATACATGAAAACAACTGTTTTCAGTTCAATATAATCAATGCAAATTGACACACAGCAATCAAAAAACTGATTGAGTGAACTGCCAGCCAACACAACCGATGACACAAATGTTTTGTTTTGAAGGGAAACAATTCAAAAGTTCACACTTTAAAAAAAAGCAGAAAAAACTCAGATTTTGTAGTTATATCAACTGATATTCTTCAAGATACCTTAGAAATTTGAATTAAATGGACAGTAAATGTACTGCACTTATTATAGGACCTTTCTAGTCTTCCAAACCACGCAAAGTGCTTTACTCTACATATTCATCCATTCTCACACATTCGTGCTCTGATGCCAGAGGCTGCCATGCAACGTACCAACTGCTCATCAGAAACAAACTAATCACATTCACACACAGATGGCACAGCGTCGGGAGCAATTTAGGGTTCAGTTTCTTGCTCAAGGACGCTTCATCGTGCAGAGGGAGGAGTCGTTGATCAAACCGCCACGGCCGACCCGCTCTACCTCCTGAGCCACAACCGCGATAGAAATAAATTGAAGTGCCCCTTTTTCTGTTTTCTTCTTGTTCCTACAGGGTGACGTTTGACTGTGCACAATGATGTATGTGCAGAGTCTGAAACTAAAATTATGTTTTCACATGTGGAAAGTTTCTCTGAGCTCATAGAAAATCAGATTTTTAAGGGGCGGGGCCTATAAGCATGATTTGTGACATCACAAATAGTTTGGGAGTCAGTCGTGGTCGAGTATTAAACTTTTTTTATACATACCCGACACACCTTATTGTTCCAAGCGGACTATTTGAATGCATGTCTTTATACAGGTCTGGAGGGGCTCTTTAAGTAAAAGGTGAGTCAGTCTTTCACCAGACTGACTTGTTTGTCACCAACTGAACACCACTCACATCTGTGTTTGACAACCTGGGAATAGGAACGGGCTGTAAAGTGTGTAAGAGAAACTACGTTGGCCACAGAACTTGAAAAACATGAAAGGCCCAATCTAGAGTCAGTGTTTGGTTTGTCCGTTCTGGGCTACTGATGGCGGCACTAAAGGAAACATTACAGCAGTTCATCCAACATTTTTTAGTTCAAAGCTACAAATATTGACCTCATGGTGGCGCTACAGAGGAAAAGCATTAAGATTCATCCTCTGGGGACCATGAATACATGAATGTACATATTTTAAGTAGTGTTAAGAACCAGTGCATCGAAACTGTACTGCAGTAATCGTGTTACTGCCCACCTGCGCACATTGAAGTCAATATGAGGAAGAAAAAATATTCTATCAAGTCGACAGAAATAATCAGTCATATCCCCACCAAGATTCATAATGAATATGAGACACTGTGTTTACCATCTGCTGTCAGCGCTGCTCCAAAGATCCCTGAAGGACGTTTGAAATGACTCACAGAGCAGCTGCCAGGTGATGCTGCAGCGCGGAGAACATTTCAAATGGCAGAACTCGCTCTTGGTGCTGTTCAATATCTCACAGAGATTATAGGCTGTTCTGTGGTGGAAGAAGTACTCAGATCCTTTATCGAAGTAAAGTAGTAAGTAAGTCAAATACCGCACGGTGAAATAACTAGAAGGAAACGTCCTGCATTCATCTGAATTCAATGTACAGCCACTAGGGGGTCTCTCACATCGAAACATCGTGAGGCAGCGTGGGATCATGGGAGTTGTTATCTTTGCCATCATTGCAGTCTCCTCCTCTCCAAACAACCCCACTGAAAACACTGAATCAAGCAGTTCCACCTTAAAAATCAGCGTTTCTCCCACGCTGTTTAAAGGACGTTCCAGACGGGCTGCGAGCCGAGCTGCTGCTAACGTTAGCTCAGCTTGACTTTTGTCTGTTTAGTCTCCACCAGTGGATACAAAATGTCTGCCTGGCAGCTGGGTATGATTTTATCAGTAACTTTGATTATTTCTGGACTAAGCAAGCCCTCTACGAGTTGGACGGCCTCCAGCCAAACAAATAAAGGATCCAAGCAACTGGTTTCTAATTTTATTCACCTCAGCATGACCCTGTCCACAATTCAGTGTTTCAACAGCGAGACGTTAAAAAGTCATTTTCCTGT